ACCGTTTCCACATATTCCCATTAAAATCCACCCAACTGTCTTTCTTAAATTAAACACTGTGTTACTCTCAGTCCAGCCAGAAACAACCGTTCCTCCTATCTGCTGCAGCTTCTCATTAACTTTCTGTGGAATGCATCTTCTGTATTGTGCTCTACTTATTTCTTCACACATCCTGCGTCTCACTGGGATGCCGATGCATGGAGGGCAATGACCGCACAGCTGCCATCTTACACTCCCCAAAATGTCTAGCACAGAGTCTTGCAGAGCATGGACAGTCAGCCCACGTTTCCCTATTTAAACTAAACTTAATTGAAATAATCTTCCCCTGAAGTTAGGAAACTTCATCTATTCTTCCACGTCCCGTCCTCAGTCTGCGGTCCCACCTGGCCCATCGGTCATTCTCCTACGTCCTTATTATCATTCCTGACTCTCACTGATCAGCCACGTAGCAGTAACTCACGGCAACCCTGCCACAACCCCTCAACATGACTTTTCCAACAGATCATAGGAAGAAACTGAGACTGTCTTTCTACGTCTTCACAGGGACTGGAGATTCTCTTTAAAGCACATTTAAGTTAATGATTCTGCTTTCTGACACTCACTAAATATATAAAGATTCTATCAAATTCATCAGCAGCAATAAATGTACACTATAAAAACACCTTATATGAAAAGTTACCACTTCATGTTCTTCAGGTGACAAATTACTGGCTTTCCAGCATTTTCAAAGCCTAAACCTCACCATGTTTCCAAAGGAAAAGTACAGTAGTACGTCATGTTCTGCCATAAACTTCACATCACTATACTAGAATCACACTTTGCTTCTATTTCTTCACTGTTCATAAGCTGGTTATGGTCCCATTAAAGCTGAAGATAATTATTAAGACTTTTTCTTATACCTTCTCAAATATCCATAATAGTGACCACACATTATTTATAATGTAAAGGAATAAATGACAGAAAAAATCAACCCTTAAGTTTATAAATCAACAAGTAAATAAACCAAAGTCTAATTTTTTCTGATATAACATTAAAAACATATATGCTTTAAAAATATAAACAATCACTACAGACATTAAAACTGGATTAGTCGTTACATTCATTACCTAATTCTTGCCAACTCATCTGGGTCTGTAATCTAGAACTATTTAAAATAGCCATGAAGCAGAGAAATACATGCTTCTAGGTAATTCTTTCCTCTTTTCTGGGTGGCCAATATAAGCTAAAATTTTATGTATTAAGCTGTGTACGATAAAAAAAATAAGTCTCATGTACACTGAATTTGAATTCTCAGTAATTCAGGTCAACGACTGGAAAGAAACACTGACACAGTTTGTTCTTACTCTCGCTGGACAGCAGCCTCTTACTGACACAGTGTGACGCTGCACTGATGGGTCTGGCGCAGGCTTTGTGCTTCTAGACTGCTTTGTGAACAGGTCTATGAACCAATCATGATGTGTTCAACAGACCACTCACTAGTAACAGCTTTAAGATTTAATTGGATAAGTCAATCAACTCAACTATTTATGTGCCTACATATGCAAGAGTAACTGAGCAAAAATGAAAGGAAAAAAACGTGGTTCCTCACAGACGCCCGCTCCCAGGGCACCACACGGACAGCTGGCTGAAGCCCACTCCCCGTCTGGCTCAGAACAAGGCCCCTGCTTGCCTAGGAGCTTTGCGCGCAGGCTGCTGGCTCTGTGCTCACAGGGGCCTCCAGAGCCGGACTCGGGGAACGGAGGCCAGTGCACAGTCCTCACCCTCCCCATCTGCCTCGCTCCCTCTCGCCGGTGTCTTTGAAAGAAGCTTATGCCCTTCTCTGGTGCCCTGACTGTAGCCGTAGATGCCCGGGGACACCTCCACATCGCCTGGTCCTGGTGGCCAGTGGGCTTATGTTCCCACTCCCCACAGGACAGTGACCAGAATAGAAATCACCCCCAGGACACAGCAAAAGGCCACAGCCCCAGGAAGCCCAGTCCTTCTCTAAGAGGCCCACTGGTCTATCACTACAGCTGCAGCCTGAGGGGAAAAGTTCTAACTAAACACACATCTAGGGCTGATGGTAAACCCTTCCTGAGACGTCACAGAGCAGGCACCGTCTTCATGCTCTCCCTTTGCCAGGCTCCAGACGCTAGCGTATCTCAGAGGGAAGCTCTCCTATGTGTCTGGCACCCTAGTGTTTTAAGCCATCGTCCAGGGTACCCCCTGACCACCTGACTCTGATAACCAGGGGGGCTTGTGTCCTCGGGTCCCACCAGATGGACAATCGGAGAGACAGTTCTCGGCAGGCTACCAGCCCCAGGGCACTGTGTAGCCAGCAGCTGAAACACACCCACAGCCTCTCTGCAAAAGGGCCCCACCTGCTAGACCAGGGAACACTGGCCTTCGGTGCAGGCCTCAGCCTTGGCACTCGCCTGGGTTACAGAGCAGCGATCATGGCACAGAGACTAGGATGCCAACCTTGCACCCACCCTCGGCCATGCTACAGCTCACAGGTATCTCCCAAAATGGAGCTTGCACACTTGTCTGGAACCCCATCTCTTGTGTGCTGTCCTGGGGCCACCTCCACTGTGCCAGGCCGGGGGCCGGCAGGCCTCACACACTCAGTCGCTTACAACTGTGTGCATGTGCATTCTTTAACAGCTGTTAGGCAGAGGGTCTCACTTCAAATGAGCCTAAGTCTGGAAACTGAATGAGATCCTCCCTCTGAGACACTGACTGGTGTTGGAACACCCTAAACTACTAGCAGATATTACAACTAAAATCAGCTTTGAGAGACAACACAGAACGAAGACAGGGTTGAAAAACAAGGTCACCCAACACGAGACCAACCCTTTGAGACTGGGAGAGGAGACTGTTTCATCTAATGCACAGACAACAACAGAGTCAAGTAAAACGAAGATAGAGGGGAATATGTTCCAAGTGAAAGATCAAGATAAAATCTCAGGGAAAAAAATAAGAAGAGATACAAACTACAATGTATAGAATGAGTGAGCAACAAGGGTATACTGCACCGCACAGGGAAACACAACCACTGGCTTGTAGTAACTTTAAATGGACTCTGACCTATAAAAAAATTGAATCACCATGTTGTACACCTGAAACTAATATAATATGGGCGCTCAATTACACGTCAATTAAAAGAGGAAAGAATGTCACAGAGATCTTGTCCGGGTGGCAGAACAGGCAGCCCTTGAGCTCACCACCTCTCATGAACACAGCAAAACCACACTGACTGCTTCATAACCACTGACTGAAAAAAAAAAAGCCTGGAACCCACTGAGAAAGATCTTCAGCTGGAGACACAGAGAGGGAACCGGAGCGGGACAGCAGGAGGGGCACCGTCACATCCCCCCGGGCGAGCTACCCCCACAAGCTGGACAAGAATTGCATCACAGAGGCTCACACACAGGAGGGAGAGTTCTGAGCCCCACATGGCTCCCCAGCCCGGGGATCTGGCAGCGGAAGTCAAGCCTCCAGAGCATCTAGCTTTGAAGGCCAGCGGGGTTTGGCAGCAGGAGCCCCGCAGGACTGGGGGAAAAGGAGACTCTGGTGTTACAGAGCACACACACAGTCTCACAAGCAACAGGGCCAAGGGCAGAAGCAGCGATTTCACAGGAGCCTGGGCTTGGCTGCAGCTCACCCTGGGGACACAAAAGCTGGCGGTGGACATCTGGGGAGTGTTCATCTCCATGAGATTTCCTGGAGGCTGACAATTTGCTTGGGTCATTGGCACCAAGACCTGGCCTCACACAACAACCTGTAGGCCTAAGAGCTGGGACACTTCAGGCCAAACAACAAACTAGATGGGAACACAGCCCCACTCGTCAGCAGACATGCTGCCAAAAGACTTCCTGAGCCCACAGCTGCCGCCAGACACGGCCCTGTACATGGCCCTGCCCACCAGAGGGCCAGCACCTAGCTCCATCCATCAATATCAGGCACTGACCCCTCCAGCCAGGAATCTTCCACAAGTGTCTAGTCCAGCTTCACCCAAAAGGGGCAGACACCAGAAGGAAGAGGACAATGATCCCACAGCCTGTGGAACAACTCCACAAATGCAGGCCTACTCAATCCTGGGACCAACTGGCCCCTGGCTCCTGGGTGACGAGAGGGGAGTGCACTGCTGTGACACACAGGACATTGCCTACAGAGGGCCTCTTCTCCAAGGTTGAGAAACATAACTAATGTACATAAAAATGCAACTAGAAATTTAGACAAAATGAGGCAGCAGAAGAGTATGTTCCAGGCAAACATACAAGATGAAATCCCAGAAGAAGAAATAAGTAATGAGGAGAAAGTCAATGCACCTGAGAAAGAATTCAAACTAATGATCATGATGATGATTAGAGAACTCAGGAAGAGAACAGATGCACAAAGAGAGAAGTTGGAAGTTTTTAGCAAAGAGTTAGAAAATAAAAGGAATAACCAAGCAGAATTGAAGAATAAAATCACTGAAATGAATAACACACTAGAAGAAACCAAGAATAGACTAAATGAGGCAGAAGAACGGATCAGTGAGCTACAAGACAGAGTACTGGAAATCACTACTGCAGAACAGGAAAAAAAAGAGAAAGAAAAGAAAAGAAACAAGGATAGTGTAAGAGACCTCTGGGACAACATGAAACACAGTAATATTCACATTATAGAGTCCCAGGAAGTGAAGAGAGAGAGAAAAGACCTGTGAAAATATTTGAGCAGACAATAGCTGAAAACTTCCCTAACTTGGGAGAGGAAACAGTCACCCAAGTCCAGGAAGTGCAGAGATTCCACACAGGATCAACCCAAAGAGGAGCACACCAAGGCACAGAGTAGTCAAACTGACAGAAATTAAAGTTATGAAGAAAATGTTACAGGAACAAGAGAAAGGCAACAAATGACACACACGGGAGCTCCCATAAGGTCACCAGCTGATTTTTCACCAGAAACTGCGCAGGCCAGAAAGGAGTGGCGTGATATATCTGAAGAGATGAAAGGGGGAATCTACAACCGAGAACATTCTACCCAGCAAGGCTTTCATGCGGATTTGATGCAGAAATCACAAGCTTCACAGACAGGCGAAAGCCAAAAGGATTCAGCACCAATAAACCAGCTTTACCACAAATGTTGAGGGAATTTCTCTAGGCAGAAGAAAGAAGGCCACAGCTAGAAACAGGAAAATGACAAAATGGGGATGCTCACCAACAAACATACAGTAAAGGCAGGAAATCATCTACATACAAACTAACCGGGAAGTTAGAAGAGGGAAGTAGTGACATCATCTGTATCCACAATAAGCAGTTAAGAGATACACAAAACAATTAGATGTAAAATATGATATAAAAACCAGTAATCATGAGAGGAGGAGGGTATGAACACAGGGTATCTAAAATACAAGTGAAATTAAGAGATCAGCAATTTAAAACAATCATGTATAAATGTAGACTTCTATACCAAAACCTCATAGTAACCACTAAAAATCTATAGTAGATAGACACACAAAAAAGAGAAATCCAAATGTAACTCTATGCTCATCAAATCACAAGAGAACAAAAAAAGGGAGGTGGGGGAAGATCTACAGAAAAATCCAAAAATTAACAAAATGGCAATAAGAACATTAACTATCAGTAATTACCTTAAACACAAATGGATTAAATGCTCCAACCAAAAGACAGACTGCCTGAATGGATACAAAAACAAGATCCATATATATGCTGTCTACAAGAGACCCACTTAAGAGCTGGAGACACAATACAGGCTGAAAGTCAGTGTTGGTGTCACGATATCATGTACACAAACACACCATATGTGGAGAGAGCTGATGGCTACTCTCTTTATTGATTTTTGTAAAAGGGTTTATATAGGACATGCATGATGCCTCACATACCACCTAAATTATAACAATGCTAATAATCTTAAGCTATTTAGGTTCCCAGGCTCCAGGTTCCCAGGCTCCTGCAATAAGCACAGGATGTTACATGATCAAGGACTGATTGTTTGCAGAATAATCATTCTTCTCAAGTGCACATGGAATATTCTCCAGAACAGATCACATGCTGGCCCACAAAACAAGCCTTGGTAAATTTTTAAAAATTGAAATCATATCAAGTATCTTTTCCAACCAAAACATTATGAGATTAGAAATCAACTACAAGAAAAAAATTGCAAAAACCACAAACATGTGCAGGCTAAACAAAACGCTACTAAACAATCAGTGGATCACTGAAGAAATTAAAAAGGAAATCAAAAAATACTTAGAGACAAATGAAAATGAAAACACAATGATCCAAAACCTCTGGGACACAGCAAAAGCAATCTTAAGAAGGAATTTTACAGCGATATAAGCTTACCTCAGAAAACAAGAACAATCTGAAATGAACAACCTAACCTTACACCTAAAGCAACTAGAAAAATGAACAAAACCCAAAATTAATAGAAGAAATCATAAAAATTAAAGCAGGAATAAGTGGAATAAAGAATAAAAACAATAGTTAAGATCAATGAAACTAAAATCTGGTTCTTTGAAAAGATACACAAAATTAATAAACCTTTAGCCAGACTCATCAAGAAAAAAAGGGAGAGGGCCCAAATTAATAAAATCAGAAATGAAAAAGTTAAAACCAACACTACAGAACTACAAGGGATCATAATAAGGCTACTATGAGCAACTACACACCAACACAAAGGACAATCCAGAAAAACTGGACAATCTCTTAGAAACGTACAATTTACCAAGATTGAACCAGGAAGACACAGAAAATATGAGTAGACCATTTACCAGCACTGAAATCAAATTAGTAATTTTAAAAGTCCCAAGAAACAAAAATCCGAGGCTGGATGGCTTCACAGGCAAATTCTACCAAACATTTTTGAGGAGAGCTAACA